CATAAATCCATATAATTCTGAAACGGAATTCTCAAGACAAACACGATGAATATACCTGAATAGTTTTAAAATTAACATTAGAATCAAAGTGATGAGAGATATAACATATTAATAGAGATTGACTTTAATAAAACAATAAAATTTACTTACGTGCACCAAATTTGAAGAATAGACACGTCAAGCCAATGACCTAAACCCACCAATAACTCTCTGATACATTTAGCTGAAACATAAAAATTAGAGACACTCGCACAATGACTTAATTGTATTGCCAAATGGTTATCATCCAATTTCAAAACCATGAGTAACAATCTCTGAACATCATCAACTTCCACGTCTTTTGTGCTCTCTTTTGTGCTTCCCTTTGCAGCTGAACAACTTCCTTTTCCGCTTCCATCAATAATTTCCAATTTTTGAATGCATTTAATATCACCTGTGCTTTGTGATAAACCCATAGACTTAAGTGTCTCCATTAATGATTGCTGAAACATCTTACGCTCTTCAACCAACTTTTCTTCAAGTTCAGCTCTAAGTTTTGTTTCCAATATTGCAAGTTGTTCATTTACGTCGATATGTTGACTTTTTCTTCCAAAGTAAGTGCTTTGTTTATGGTGTTTTCCAACACCACGGACACGACCTCCATGCTCAGATGTTCCAATGGCTAATGATAAGATATCGTTACGTCCATCTGGAACAATTGCACCTTTTTCAGCTTCTTGAACAAGAGAATCCTACAAAATGCAAAAACATCAATTAATCAATCACAAATATAATTATACTTTGTAATAATTTTTCGTTGTTTACTTACAATTTTTTGGGCAACCTCTTGTGTAGATTTTGATGTGTATTCTCCTCCTTTCTTTTGTCGTGCTCTCTTCCATAACTCATGGCGTGATGGTGGAGATTGACTATCATTATCATCTAATGTGGAATTATCTCTCGATGATGACTTTTCTTTCATAATTTTCTCCTCAAGTAAGCGATACCCTCCACGAGACAATACATGTGGGTATAAATTCTTGGCCACATTATCCTTACCCTTCTGACTTTTTTCCTATTATAAACTCAAACAAATAATTAATCACTAAATATAATAAAAATGTTATGCACACAAAAATATATAACTCCTACTAACCTTAAATTCAGGGGTATCTCGAATCTTGAGAAACTCTTTCCAGGCGTCTTCTGTAATAAAGTTATACTTGACATATGGAGGAGGATCATTTTCTATGGGATGATGAATATATCTATCTGTGAGTTGTGTCTTAAAACCTCTCCATCGCTCTCCCGCATATTTAATCCATTCTTTCTTCAACCTATCATTCTTTGGATCTTTACATTCTGGAATAGTAAAATGAGCCTACAAATGTAGTATATGTCATATGTTGTTAATTAGTATATGATTATAAAATATAATAAAGTATTGTATTTAAAATACCTGAATATCAGTCCAAATAGCATCTTTTACGCCTTCATCTACTTCTTTCCAATCATTTTTCACAATGCTACAATACTGTCGAGCAAGAGATGCTATATAACTCTTGAAATTTGTAGCATTTTTACCAACACCAATACATTCATAGGTTCTTGCATTAAACTCGACCTTTATCTTTTCACCTGTTTGATGAACTTTGTCAATTTGTGTCATTAAAGTGGGACCTCTAACTCTTCTTTTATTGGGGTTTGAATCACCCATGTATCTGTTTACACAAAACAAAAATAATTAGAAATAATATTAATCACAAAATAAAAACAATTAGAAATAAAATTAAGCACAAAATAAAAACAATTAGAAAATAAAGTAACATGGAATTAACTTATACAAAAAATCTTACTAGTCCTCCCATATCCCTTCTTCATGGTCCATGCGAATAGCATGCACATCATCCCCTTCATTTTCTTCAGTGAATGTAGTCACATTTGTTGAGAAAGGATGAGTTTCAGAAATATCAAGGTTCTCATCATGATTTTCGTCACTATCATGGACCTTTCCTTGTAAAACCACTGACCACTTTTTATTAGAAGGATCTGTGACATAAAACACTTGTTTTGCTTGAGATGCCATGATGAATGGTTCGTTCGCATAAGCTAACTTGCTAAGATCAACCAGTGTAACTCCAAATTCATCGATTCTGACACCACTGTTGATATCAATCCATTTGCATTTAAATACAGGAACTTTAAACACAACATAATTAACTTCCCAAATCTCTTCAATCACCCCAAAGTACGGTGTAGATGCCATAACCGGGTTTTTATCTTTAGCACTAGAGAAGTGCATGGACTCGGCCACAATCATTACCCCACTATTTTGCGTAGTACTACGGTCATCCTTTGACTTTGTATAAAAAGAGGTTTTATTAATATCATATCCACTCCAAGTTATTAGGTTACATTTAGGCCCATAAGACAACCACTTAATTGTATTAGAAACACTATCTTCATTAGCAATTCTTTCTTTAAACCACTCGGTGAAACTCTTATTATGCTCTTTTAACAACCCTCTTTCATTCATCTTGGGGTACTTTTTCTTTACGATGCTTTTGTGAGCAGATAAGTAAGGTTGAACTTCATCTATGTTATTCAATATATACAAATGCGCTTGAACAGCCACATCAATACTTAAGCTCTTGACTTTTAAACCTTGTGTACCCACACCCTCATATCTTCCATCATGACGAGACTTAGGAACCCCTACAACATCCACTCCTGACAAATAGTTAGAACAAAACTCAATTGCTTCTTCTGCAATGTACCTCTCAATAATCGATGCTTCCGGACGGTGTGGGTTTTTTGTATACCCTTTTAGAATCTTCATGTATCGCTCTATTGGATACATCCACCGTAAAAAAACTGGACCACATAATCTAATCTCCCTTACTAGATGAACAATCAAGTGAACCATAATGTCAAAAAATGAAGGAGGAAAATACATCTCTAATTGGCACAAGATAACTGCAGCCTCATTTTCCAAATCGTCTAACTTTAGTGGATCAATGGTTTTACAACAAATTGCATTGAAAAATAAGCATAACCTAGTTATGGTCTTCCTTACGTTGTTAGGCAATATCCCACGAATAGCCAATGGTAGTAGTTGTTGCATTAAGACATGACAGTCGTGAGATTTTAAGCCAACTAATTTAAAATCTTTAACTGATACAAGCCTCTTGACATTTGATGAGTAACCATGCGGCACTTTGATACTTTGTAAACACTCACAAAAACTTGTTTTCTCTTTTTTAGACAAAGTGTAGCAGGCAGGAGGCAAATATGTCTTGTTACCTATATATTGTGGGGTTAACTCTTCTCGTATACCCATCAAACCCAAATCCAGACGAGCATTAATACCATCTTTTGTCTTGCCTTGAATGTTGAGAAGTGTTCCGATTACACTATCGCATACATTTTTCTCCACATGCATCACATCAATACAATGTCTTACATCAAGACTAGACCAATATGGAAGATCGAAGAAAATCGATCTCTTTTTCCATACATTTTTCACAGTAGATCGTTTTTGGTACTTTCCAAAGATAACATCAAGTCCCTGTTGTCGCTGATAAACTTCCTCTCCAGACAAGGGCTTTGGAGCAACACCATGCTCTTGTTCCCCATTGAAAGCTTTCCGCAATCTACGATATGGATGATAACGTTTTAGAAATTTTCGATGCCCGAGATAAACGGTCTTCTTTCCTTTTTCAAGCTGATGGTAACAAGTGTCTTTTTCACATATAGGACATGCATTATGCCCTTTAACTTTATACCCAGACAAATTACCATATGCCGGAAAATCATTGATGGTGCAAAACAACATGGCACGCATATTGAACTGTTCGCCAGAATACGCATCAAAAACATCCACCCCTTCATCCCACAACACTCTTAAATCATCAATCAGTGGACTTAGATAAACGTCTATGTCATTTCCTGGTTGTTTTGGGCCCGATATCATCATCGATAACATAATATATTTACGCTTCATGCACAGCCTAGGAGATAGGTTGTAAATCATCAAGAGAACAGGCCAAGAACTATGGTTAGTACTCAGATTACCGAACGGATTCATTCCATCAGTAGCAAGTCCAAGTCTAAGGTTTCTCGACTCTTTGCCAAAATTTGGAAACAAAGAATCTATTTTCTTCCATTGCAAAGAATCAGCTACATGACGAATTTGTCCATCATATTTTCTTTCTTCTGCATGCCATCTAAGATTCTTTGCGTCATCTGCATTGGCGAATAATCTCTTGAACCTTGAAATTATTGGTAGGTACCATACCACTTTCGCAGGAGGACCCTTTTTTACCACCTCATCATCAATTGACTCACCATCTTTCTTTTTGTAGCGTGAAGCCTTACACTTTGGACAATGATTATACTTTTCATACTCTTTTCTGTATAATATGCAATCATTAGGGCATGCATGTATCTTTTCATACTCCAAACCCATTGGACACAATATTTTCTTCGCCTCGTAATAACGACTTGGCATTACATTACCTTCTGGAAGCATTTCAGTCAACAATTCAAGTAACTCGGTAAAACTTTTGTCAGTCCACCCATTCTTTGCCTTCAGATTAAATAATTTTAACACGGCTGACAGACGTGTAAATTTTTTGCATCCCGGGTACAATGGTTTATCCTTGTCATTGCATATAGTATCATATGTATGTGCCCTCTTAAACGAATCTTGTCCAATATCACGCATCATGTCTTCTAGATGATCATCCATTTCTACACTAACACCATCTCTTTGAGACACGTTTGACTTTGCTACTACTTCACCGTGCCATATCCATTTTGTATAACTTTGACAAATCCCTACACAAATTAGATGATCCATGATTTCTTTCTTACTACGTTTTGGTTCTTTATTTGCACAACGAATACATGGACAGAGAAAAAGCGTAGGAAGACTTTTGTCAGCATTACTTTCAGCAAACTGTAGAAATTCCATCACTCCATGTTCGTACTCGTCACTTAATCGATTAGCTCTCATCCAACTACGATCCATAACTATGTTCACACGGAGGAAGGTCTGACGAACGGTGTGTCCGCGGCTGTGCTACTTCACGGAGATTCCGAGATTGCAAGTTGCGCTGCTTCGCGGAGAAAGACAAATAGAATCAAATTTCAATGGCAAGGTGATAACTCTATTAACAATTTATTACTAATTGTTATTATTTTTACACTTTGCACCACTAATACATAACTGATTCTCACTGGTTTCCTTTTCTAATAATTTCAAAACGATCATCATATATTCAATTTTTGTCTCAGAACCTGTAAATACTTAATAATATAACAATCTTCATGTTTCACTCTTCACCATCATGATCATGAAATTTCACACTGCACAAACACTAACATACACCATATTTTCTTGAAACAAGTAGCTTGTTGCATTAGTTAAAGTTACTAAGTTTAGTATCTATAAACATGTATAACTTTATCTTAAGGAAGAACCATAGAAATTTAAACTATCGTATACTAGCCAACTGCATAATATTGAAACCATACATAATTATGCCAAAAAATTCAACTCAAACATATTTGAAACCAAAGAGAAACACCAAAAATGTCATTAACATCTCTTAAATTAATTAAGGCAACATGGTATCAACACCAAACGTGACTCATATTTAACATAGATAACACAAAGATCATGGTATTGACACAAAAAGTGTATATACTTCTCTATATTCTCAGCCACCTATAGTATGTTACTGGATCAATAATTAAAAGTGTATATATATAATTAAATGAAACTAAACTAATTATGTATTTAAGTGTGTCATTGAATTGGACTGAATTGCTTCTCATGTGAAGTGACATATTTTTAGAAAGAATAGTATTTTTATTTTTTTCACTAATCAACTGGTACGTATGGATGAGTACTAGAAAAAGCATATACTTGAGGGAGTTATTATTTGTTTTGCATTCTCAAAATAGTTGCTAAAATTAACTACTATTTTCCTAAAGGAAACTAATTAGCATATGCACTTAGTAGTTAATTAAAGTCATGCACTCTTCTTCCTCTTCTTCGGTGACTCACAGAATTTCCATATCTTCCTTTCAACATTATCACCACCATGTTTCACCATACCAACAACCATCAGAAATCACCCTATACACTTTCATTCCTACTCCCTCCGCCATGAAGCTTCATAACCTCACACACATAACATCACCGTAACATCACCTTAATGTGGCTGAAATACAAGACTTTACCATTTTGTTGTTATGATTAATTGAAATACAAGACTTTATCGTATACAGTCTGCATTATTTGATATGACTTTTACTGTGACTTTCTTTAAAAGACATTTCCATAATAATAAATTATATGAATTAGTTTTTTAGTTGTCTGAAACTTAAGTCAGTTGATTCTACTTTATTAATACTTAACAATTATTCTAACTGTGAATTATCTTATTTAACTTCTGAACAAACACTTCAATACTTATACAATTATTCTAACCGTGTATTTGCTCTCAAAAGCATACACCTACAAGTTATTATAGAGATACGATTTATTATGATAATGAAAACAAATTACAATTCTGCTGTGATAGTAAACTAGTGCATGCTCCTAATAGTCAGTTACTTTGTAGTGTGGTGGTGGTGTTTTATAGTGGTACGTGGTAGTGTCTATGCCACTATAAGCATGCAATTACATAATATCATGACACCATAAGCAATTACAAATTCATAAACAATTTCGTATACACGCTCCATGAGATTTCGTATGCTATTTTTCCACATGATATTATAACACCTTATCATGAAAGCATGCTTCAGTATCATCTATGCCATCATAAGTATGCTCCATGAGAATGGAAATGAAAATGAAAATGAAAATGGAGCAGAATGGAATCAATTTAATAAACAAAACTTCTAGAATAGAATGTAACATGCTATCTTTTCTCTCATGTTAGAGTTCGATATCAACAACAAAATTTGATAGGTTTGAATGCATGTGATAATACGTTTGAATGCAGGGGCATCAGAACCGGCGAATATGTTCAACAACAACAGTAAAATTTGATATGTTTGATGAACATTAGAATCATGTCCAGCTGGTATCGAGCTGATCAATACAATGGTGTCAACTCTTGTTTTGTTGTTCCAGTTTGCACCAGTTTCGTCGTGTTTATCCAAACAGAATACAATGGTATCGAGTAGAAATATGAATATAAATGATGAATGATTTAATTGTAGAAATTTGATAGCAATTATGCTTAAGCGATTCTATTGTCACAAACAAACAGAACACATGGTTAGCATGAGAGTAGTTTGAACTCAAAGAGATTTGGTATAGTGATCACCGTCAAGATTGACAACATAATAACATGGTAATCTTTGATTCATCACAAATGGCATACCAACAATTAGCTCATAACATTATCCAACTTCATCATTTAGCTTAAGATAAACAACATAATAACAACATCTCCATTGACCCTAATTTTCGGAAAAAAAAATTTAATTAAAAACTTGTATGCAAGTTCATGTGAACTCACATTCTAAATTCCAATTATAATATACTTAATTATATGCATCCACATTCCAAAAAGTAAATGAATCAAGTTTGTTACCTTATGAGATGATGTCTTGGCAAAACTTTTTGTCCAGTAGCGAGCAGTATTGCAAATGTCTGATATTCTTTGAGGTACTGCTTTAAAAGTCAAAGAAAGTAACAATTAAATAGTTGAATTCATTCTTTCAAAATTATATATCCTTGAAAGTCAAATGCAAAATATATGATAATATCCCCTAAAAGAAACTGCAATATAACAGAAAACACATTATCAAGGATCAACTTTTTTAAAGCATTTCTCACAATGTTCTCCTAGTTATTGATATAATTAATCATTTATTTCTAACTAATTTATGTCATAATAGAAGACATACAAGTTCAAATCCAAACTCAGGAGAAGAAGGTTTTAAAAACAATTCGTAAATGCGAAAACGGCGGCGACAAAACTGTATTGAAAGGTGTCGATATTGATACTATTATTCACTATTTTTAAGATAAAAAATAAATTGTGATTAATTCATACCGCGACGACGCAATCACAGTTATAACATTTGTACCGACCGAAATTGCAAAGATCTTTACGCGACTCGGTCGTTATTTAAAACATTGGCCACTCATCCTCTGCAGCAACATTAAGAATCACTATTGATATGAACATTTGTAAAATTACTCTTGAAATTCAATGGATACTTTGGCCTTTCCTCTAACACAATGGGGATGTTTTCAATTAAATGAGTTTGCACCTCTTAAATCAATAACAGAGGTGTTGTAATGGATATGAATGTAAAGTAATCAAATCACAGCATGAGTGAGCATAATCATGAAGGATAAAAAGCTTGATGACCTTTTTAATCATACATAACAACAGAACATTCAAGAGAAATTCTATTCAACCAGTGAGACAGTGTACCTGATAAGAGAAGAGGGCAGGCTAGAGGAATAGCGTCAGAAGGAGTATTGAACAAAAGAAGTGGGTTTATGAGGTTTGACGAAAGTTGTATGGGTTATTCAGTTGCAAAATGAAAGAAGTGTGTTGTGAACATGAGGGTTTCTCGGATGGTTCACGGTGGTGTTGTTCGGTGGGGAGGGATGGTCGAACGGAGGAAGGTATCATGAGTATGGAGTATGAAGATGGCAAGGTCGCTGGATATACACCGAGTAACAAGTTCGGTTTGAAAAGAGGGAGTAATGGAGTGTGGGTACGAGTTGGGTGGTGGCCGAAAAGGAATGGCGAAGGGATGAAGAGGGAATAGAGACTAGGTTTAGAAGGTTGAGGTGGGTTGTTCGTTGAAGCAGATTGTGAGGGAGTAATAGGTTTTTTTTTTTTTTTAAAATAATTCTTAGGATTTTACATCGGTGGGATATTTCCACTGATTTAATAGTTTTTTTTTTTTTTAAATAATGCTTAGGCTTTTACATCGGTGGAATATTTCACCGATATAATAGGTTTTTTTTTTAAATAATGCTTAGGCTTTTACATCGGTGGGAACTTCCACCGATTTAATATGTTTTTTTTTTTCCACGTTTTTATTAATTTTCAATATAATTTATATATTAATTCAAAGAATCATTTTTTACATCGGTTTGTCTTTAGACCGATGTAATAGCTTTCTTATATTTTTTTTAACTTTTTTGTCACCTTGTTTATTATTTACAAAAATGCCACCGTGTTTTTTTTCTGGAAATCTTTTACATCGGTGGATGAGATTACCCGATGTAATAGGTGACGAAAAAAATTTTTTCCCTTATTTTTTATATCATTGGAAATAAATACCTGATGTAAAAAGTTTGTTAACTGTATTTTTTACATCACCTATTTTGATACCCGATGTAAAAACCTTTTCTCAAATATCTTTTTTTTAGTAGTGGCTTTTTTATATACCCCTTTAGACAGCGCTTTATGTTATTTTTTAAGTTAGGCTTTATACAGCGCTTTTCTTTAAAAGTGTTGTCTATTCTCCCACTTTAGGCAGTGCTTTCCCACTTTAGGCAGCGTTTTTTTTTACTTTTCACAACGCTTTTCTCTTAAAGCGCTGTCTATTGATCATAATTTTTTTTATAATAAAATACCTATTTTAACTTACAAAAGCGCTGTCCAGTATATATAATACATTTTAATCAGATTTTAACCATATTTGAACCAAATTTTCACCATATTATGCACCATATTTGGTAGCTTCATTCCAATAAAATATGCATATGGAAAAATTTCACATATATATAAATTGATGATATATACAACAACAACTACAAAACTTATGATACAAATTAAAATTCTACAAGTTGAAAATCCTAAAATTCAAAATTGATGTTACATCTACATCTTACTATCTTCGAGAATTCTCATAAAACAACAACAACATGAATATCTTAGCTCTATCTTCTACACATGCACCTATAAACCTGGAAAAAAAAACCAAACGATCGAAGTTCATTACATGATAATATTAATGTTACACTTTATTCGAATTTAATTTATACTCAAAACTCAAAAGTTCTCATCAAAGGAAATAACACAATATACCTTAGCTTATAAAATTCTCAATCCGATAATGAATTGACATCATTCCTCTATAAGTTCATCCAATTGATCTCTTAAGTAATGTGCACAATTGAATTCCTCAAAGTACTACATATATAATAATATAACATAGTATGTGATTTAGTTAAAACAATATGTCATTTTATGAGAAACACAAAATATGAAAATAGTATGTAATTCCTAAGTTAGAAATTCATACCGTGGATGGAATCTCTAATCGATCCAAAAGAATAGTTTCTTTCATAAACCTCAACATGAAATAGCCGCAATCTATACCGTTACACTGGCGAGGACACTACACATGGAAAGAAAATATGAATATATATCAGGATATATCCCTTAAATTGTTTTATCAAGTATCATCACTAATGTAATCAAAACTGAATATCTCTTTGTGAAAATATACCTCCACTCTGATCCATGTAACGTTGTTGGCTCTACTTGTTGGCACTTGAATATCTCTTTGGGAGTGAAAATCTAATAGAACGCTATAATATAAATGACTGTTTAGAACAATCTCACATAGAAACATAAACATAAACACAAATCCAGATATATATATCTTTGGGAGCGAAAAACTTACGTGTCAATCATCTTCTTCAAATCTGGATATGTTGACCAATCATTGTATAACGAATCCAGATAATACACAGTATCTCTTACATGATTAATCGCAACCAATAACCAGTATCCACTGTAAGATTAAACAAAGATTAAACAATGGCCAAAAACGGAAAATTATAATAGATCAAGTTAGGATGAAAATCTAACCCGTTGCCAGTATTATATGGCAAAAAGAACAATTTTTCAGTATCTTTGTTGGCCACGAATAAACCGAGTACATATGCTATGACATCATCTGGTCTAGTTACGATTAACCCTGAATTAACAGTGTTGGGAGCTAAGAAGCCAAATCTTGCTTCTAATCCACGCGGGCGCACAATCTTGTCATACAGGAACCTTAAATTAAAACATCATTAACATTATATTATATTCATTGAAATGAGGAAATAACTTGTTCATCTAATCAAACAAAGTTGATCGGAGTATACCTGATGTATGTACCGATAATACCGAAGCCTAATTCCAAATGTCTAAAAACTTGCTCCATATCCTCTCTACCAATTTCTTCCAAGTATTCAAAACCAAAGATGTCTGCACTCATAAGTATACGGCGGGTACCACCATCAGGATATCTGTTATTCCTAAATATGTCCGAAGGCACGACCTGAACTGAGTAGTAGTTTTTTTGCTAGCCACGGTCTTTTTAGCAACATTTTTTTGTGTGTGTAAATATTTCTAATTTCAGGCGCCTTACCCCTACTGACTTGTGCAATCTCTTTAGCATGAACCTAATTATCATATAATTAGTTAGGGGAAGTATAAAATCACAAATTAGCATTTCTCATAGCATAAATGTCATATAATTGTGTTGTACCTCAATTGATGCAATTGACTCAGTTTCCCGCCTAATCTCCTTATCTTTTGGAATGGATTTTGTTGGAGTCTAACATTACCATGTAAAAAAAATGTAAGTAAAATTGCCTTAAAAAATTCGAATAGTAAACGGTTTTAAGCATACCTCATCATCTATGCAAACGAGGCTTGACGACCATGCAACAAATGATCCTATTGCATCTGCCACCAATGTTGCATCCGCCACATTGTCAAGTAGTGGTAACAACGCACCCCCTATAAAACAACATCAATCGATACTTTCAAAAATCTATTTGGGAGTGGTTTATGGTGAAGCATTTATCCCGTAATATTATACGTTTTCCCTTGTCAACCATCCGATAAGTCGGTGACGACAAATAGAGTTGACACCGGGAAATGCCCTATAACCATTAATAAATATGGTTATATAATTAACAAATATGGTTATATAATTAATAAATATGGTATATAATTACCTCGGGAATATTCGGTCCAAAGTTATCATTGATACTACCTTTGTCACTAGTATCTTTAAAACCTGTAGCTTGATCTATTTCTTTTTCCTTTCTCAGCTCATAAACTTCTTGTTGTAACTTTTCCAACTTTTCCTGAAGTTCTTTATTGCAAGGTGCTTTTGTCTTTGATTTTTTATTCAAGGATGTTGGAGTGATCCCAAATCCCTTTCCCCTCACCCGACCAAAATACTCACGAATATCTAATGCTCGACTAAGTATTCTCCTGCAATCATTATCTTCATCTGGAGATATAGACTGAGAAAGAGTCTCCTAAATTAATATGAATATTGTAATTAAAGAATGATATGTTAATAAAAGAATGATGTAATTAAATAAATAAAAGAATTATGTAATTAAATAAATAATGTTTTACTTACACATCTCTCGAAAATTTGTTGAACATTTTCTTGAACAGCTCCATCCTTACACACAAGGGCTTCCTTCCACAAAACATGTTCCGGAAGAGATGTTTCAGAACTGTTCTCCTTTGTTAACTACACATTAAGCCAAATAACATGATCAAATATAAGTGTGCATATATTATAGATACTTTGCAATTTATAGATACTTACAATAGATTGTTGTAAGCGTACATATCCCATACGCCCTTTTCTGTATGGATATGCGGGACTTGATGCTTGTTGTCGATTTACGACACTTAAACTCTCAAATTTCTGGGTTTTTCTTTTGGATTTAAAAGTTTCCCATTTTTAAGGTGTAATAAGATCTTTATATTTACTTGGAAGCTCTGCGTTAACAAAATATTTATCCGCATCCCTAAGAAACTTGTTTAAAAAAAATCTCTAAAACCTCTATGTAATTTTCCGACCAATTTGAGTATATAATCTCTCCTGGTATCATCAATGTTAAACGACCTCTATGAAAATCATACAAAAAGTATGTTAGTATAAGTAATTTAAAGATATAATCGTCATTAAAAACAAATAACATCACATATGGTACCTGTATCTCACTCCATATTTTATCTTTAGCGTCGTCCAACACTATTGCTCTCCAATATTCAAAAGTTATTGGAATTTCTATCCTTACCACCGAACCAAGATAACTCGTCAACATTGAACCGTTAGGCTCAATTTGTTGGCCTTCTTGACTCCAATGCACATCATACTTCATGCCCCGATCTCTATCTCGAATGGTTCTCTTCATTATTATTATTCCTCGTCTAATTTCCATTTTCGTTTTATTAACGGACTTATCTCCATCATGCCCAGAATCATCATGTGAGTGATCCTCGTTAGTAGCCATCTAACCTGTAATAAACATAAACCCAATATAAAATTCCATAATCATTTGAATATATATAAAATGACAAATACAAACATTAACATAAACATAAACTTAAACGTAAACACAAACATAAACATACATTTTAATATATTACTTCTTTCACTAACATCTCTTTCTTTTCTTGGTGGAACATGGATTACTTGTTTCTTAACAATGCGGATGGATAGATTTATACAAAGGGATCACCAAAAACAAACAAAAACAGTCCATCTAGGAGGCTAATGAATTTAGGTGTCAATGCACATGAACAAAATAGGAAAAATAGTATATACACTATAAGAAGATTAATACAAACTTTTAAAAATATTTTGT